GTAAAAGAAGGGCAAGTTGAGAGACAGATACTCTGGGTAGACTTCAAGGTCTACAAAAGATTGGTTGTCTCTTCTGGGGTTTACACTCTCTTTGTCTAATTAGACTAATAGAGGTAGAATAGAACTGGGAGAGATTAAAATCTGTGATAAACAAGGCATCTTTTCTTTGATATTATTGGAACTGGTTTCACTTATCTTCAGAAATCTTTCTTTTTGTGCTCCTTAATTTGTCCTTGAAGTCCTGTATCTAATCATTAGTTCAGCAACCAATAATCCTTCTCCAGCCCCTCCACCCCTTTTTATGGCCAACTTTAATCTTTCAACTCAGTGAAAAACATGTTTCCCCTATCATAACTAGTTTAACAAAAATTCTCTTTCAAGTTTAGATTGTGCAGATACAATGGCTTTCCTGCAGCTTCATGCTGGAGAGAGGAATTTACATTAGAAAAAATAGAGATTTATGATAGCATTGTATTTCCATTTGAATATGGAGAGTTAATAACATGCATATGTTTTTTTTTATTATTATTATTTTAAGGTTTAAGCTATGCCATAAGCAAAAGGAAACCTGGAAACTGTGGGACTGGCAGGGCTCAATGAATAACCTAATCTGGATTTCATTCACAAACAGCAGCTCATACATAGGGAAAGAACTGGTGTGTTTTGCCAAATCGGAACTGGAGTAAGTGCCAGGATTTCCTGATTTGTTTACATTTCTCAAAAAAACTTTTTTCCCCTGGTTGAGGCTAGAATTAGACTTCCTTTTCCACTTTTGGCCCTTTCCAAACTATTCTTGCTTGACATATTCTCTCCCTTTCCCTGTATTCTCCTTTGTTCCAGTCTCAGCTGGCTCTTTTGTCTTGGAAAACAGAAAAGGCAACGAAAGATGTCAGTCTATGATAATAGTGGTAAGGTAGCCAGGTTTGCATGACAGCAAAACAATGCCGCAGGCTTTTCCAGCACTCTTGGATCCACTAGTCTTCTTACAATGGTTCAGGGAGCAATGAGTGGGATCTCTCTGGGGCTGCAGACTGGAGCAATAGTGTCATAATGTAAAAGAGATAAACAGATCAAAATGAAACAGGCTAGCCCAGACTCTCTTGACGAGGCATGTTGCTGAGTTAATCAGAAATCAGAGGGGCCTGATTACAGTCACCTTTGTATTAGCTGACTGGCTTCTCTGAGTCTCTGAAAATGGTCGTTTTCCCTGCCAGTCCTTTTTCACTTTCACTGACTTTACTGTACTTTGCCCATTGCCTGTAACCTCGGTGCAATCACTGCAGAAACTTGTTTGAGAGACCTTTTCTGTGCCTTTGTTTAGAGCCCTTTGATCATCCCACAGAAAGAAAAACACTGTAGCTTGAACCTAAGCCATTGTTTTCTTAACATGAGACTGCCAGCCGGCAAGCAGTGTTTGATGCACATGCATAAAAAAGGACTGCTAGGGACTTTAGAAACTATGGGAATACCAGCACCAATATTGAGAACTTGGGCATCTTGCTGAGCAGGGATTTAAATGCCTGATGTAGCCACTCTGCCGCTGCAGAATAGCAGCTTGAGTCATCATTATTCCTTAATAGCAGTGTTACAGCAACACAAAATTATTCTTGTGGGGATGTCAGGTCCTTCTTGCCCCAGCACCTTACATCTTGCCGTTAGATATCACCTGGTGAATGGTTCAGGCTTTAACAGGATGAGGTGGCAAGGAGGGGCTCTGCCAGGCACAGACATTCAGCACAGAGCCAAAGCACTCACAGCAAGAGGCAGGGGTGCAAGACTGAATTTCTGCATTTCAAACGAGTATTGTCAGCCAAGTTTTTAGCTGAAATCACTCCCATTGACACAAATGCACCAATGCTGATTTACACTCACTGATGAATACGCCTCTGGAGGAAGAGGAGGATAGGGTAATGGTGCAGGAGAGTTAGATGAAAAAGGAAGTGATGGGGAGAAGGAGATAAGAGGGGGAGGGAAGGAGAGGCACGATAGTGGGACTCAGGAAACGTGAACTGTAATGTATGGCTGTGGGAAAATGATTAGAAGAGATTGCATCAGACTGGACAAAAATTTTGCAACTTCTGCAGCACCTTTTTAAGATTCCGTACTGAGATACTGAGCAGAATGTGTGTGGCTGTACGTCTGGAACAAGTCCAAGCAAAAGGCCAAATGCAATCAGTCATCTGCATTTGCTGGAGCTGTGTACTAATGTTTCCTGTGTAGTCATTGCAATATATGTCTACTTTGTGTGTTTTGAATTTTGGTTTTCACCTTTAAGTACTTGTATCATATTTAGTTGCTTACACTGTGTATAAGCACCTGTTTTTACCACATTGCTTACTTTGAGGGGCCAGAAATTGCTGTTCCACTCATACTCAGCAGATAGATTGGTGAGAGTGAGATGGGGAATGCTACGTGAAGGGGAAACAACAGACTTCTAAAAACAGGAGTAAGATGCTATAGGCATGGTAGATAGCACCTTTGCACATGAAATCATCAGCCAACTTCTTTCAGTTTAGGAGATCTCTGCAGAGAAGCAAGAGGTCCAAAAGCTCTTTTGCTTACATGATTTATTTAGCTGTTCTCATTAGTGCTTCTCATGTCAATAAGGTGAGCAGGAAACAGACTGATGCAGCAGGCAGCCTGTGCTAGAAACACACACCCACCCTTTCTGCTTCATCAGTTGTCTGAGCCCGCAGTTTCACTATTAGGTCTTGGTGGTGCATTTTTAGATTTCCAGTTACAGCTTGCATGACAACTGCTGACAGTCTCTGCCTGACCACTTACTGCCATTTAACTTGATAAGAACTATAAAGGAAGCATTTTTCCAGGAGAAAGAGTAGAGGAAGGGACAAGTATATTTCTAGTGCTTTCCAGTAATTATGATTCATGACTTGTGTCAGCCAGAGTTCAGTTCTCACTGGCAAGTGTCAGCTGTCAATAAGAAAGTCTTACTTTAAGAAAACACCTCTACTTTTTTTTTTTTCATTACTGAAAGCTAATACAGATGAAACCACAAACCTGAAGAGTTCAGACTTCACCAAATGCCATCATTTGGACTAACTGAATATTTGATAGTAATTGGCATTTAATTTGGATGTTCCTTTTTCATTTTCTCACAAACCCAAATACATTTTCATTTTCATTTTTCATTACTACTCCTTATATGGTAAAGATGACCTGATTGATTGAGTATAAATTAAGGCCATATTTTCTAATGTGATAACTCATAAGGGAGGTTATACTAAGGAGCCTGAAGAGTTGACCTAACACACCCCTTTGGCCTGCACAAATTTCTTGTGACACTTTATAAGGCAAGTTACATTCAAGTTATTCACTTTCATTTAAAAAGTTGTTTTCTGTGTTTCCACATCATATTTCCAGGAAAAAGAAGCTGAAAACTACATATGCAGGGTGGTACCATTCCTTTTCTGTCTGTGACCAAGGATGTAAGCTGATGATCTCCATGCTATTCTGCTGTGGCTCTGTCACTCCTGACCTGACCTTCAGGATACACTGAGAGTATTCTGAGTCCTTCCACAGTGTCTCACACTAGCACTACAGGACTTTACCTACCTCAGGCAAGGCTCATCTTCTGGCAATGGGATATCTCTGGAAGCTCATTAATTCCAGCTGGTAGAGAAATGACGGTAGCCAAACGGTGTAGGATCCCTTTCCTCTGTGGCATTGAACTGTTGGCAAAGAGCAAGATTAAGTTTATAGTCAGCAGGATATGGCTGCTAAACTCAATATGTTATTTGCTATTAGCTGACCACGGCTGTAATGCAGCCTGCAGGCCCATGGGATGGCAATACAGTAGGTGAGCGGAGATGGACGTTCCTGGGCATGACAGTGGGGAAGGTGATACTGAGGATTGGCTAGAAATTTTTGGTAGAGATCAACCAAGAACTCAGGCTCTGAATCCAGAAAATCCCCTTCAAACTGGAACTAAAACCATACTTGAAAGTGCAAGTTAAATTTTATTGTCCTCAGACTGTGGTATAAGAAACATATTTGACTTAGAAGAAATCTCTATGTTCCTCACAGAGACAGGGCATTCCCTTTCTGATACAGCTGCAAGAAACAACATAATCTTTTTTATTTTCTGTTACAATTAACAATTTATTTTTTTTAAGGAAGAATGTAACATTTCTCAAAGAACATTTGTAATAATTTCTGATTAGGGCATAGTTCTTCTGGTTCTGCTGATGGAATTCATATTTCTTTGTTGTAAATGTGCAGAGTCTGTGCAAAATGACGGAATAACAGTCTTTTTCTCAGCAAGATTTCCCTCCCCATTCCAGATCCTGAAGTTTTTCTCTGTCCCTTTGCTATTACAATAGGACACAACTGACAGGTGGGATATATGGAATTTTTGCAAAACTCTATTTTTTTATTATCTCCTTTATAAAATGAAAATACCATGATAGGGACAGCCAAATCCATCTAATTCAGTATCCTTTCTTTGGCACTAGCCAGCTGAGGTTGGCTAAGCAAAGAATAGAGAATGATCCTTCCTTGGGTAAGGATAGACAACTGCCAACAATCAAGAAGTCAGAGAATTTTTGAGCCAGACATTGCATCTGGGCTATTGTTTTTGATGTTCATCAATGGACCTATTCTTTGTAAAATTCTTTTTTGCCATTTTGAATCCATTTATATCTCTTGGCTTCCACAACATCCTGTGACAGTGCTTTGAGTAAAAACTATGCTTTGAGTAAAAAAATTGTTTGTTTCCTTTATTTTAAACACCATGACTCAAAATTTCAAATACTGTACCCTCTTGCAAGGGATATAAGAAGGGTACAAGAAATACTGAACAAATGGTGCCTATCACCTATATTGGGTCTATTCACCTTTCTTGTATCAGTCAATATAGGGCATTTGCTGTATTAATTATCTCCTTTACCAGCTGAAGAGTTATAATTTGTTTACTGATTCCATACCTCTCATCGTCTTTATCAACATTTTATCTACATATTTTTCACTCTACTGTATCTTCTAGAGATGGAGTCACCAGAACTGCAGGGGACTGCAACAGCTATGGGAAGAGTCTTGGAATGAATAATGTTAAACCACATACTTACATTGTAAGTTTTCCTAAATGCCAGGCTAAGCTCCAATTTTTGGAATGGACCAGAGAAAATTTTAAAACCAGAAGTTTATCTGTTTCTACCACTTTCAGGACCACCTCTGGATTTTGCTTTTGTTTAGTTGTTTTTATTAGGGAGAGTGATTCATGATTTTGGGGTTAGCTATACTTTATGTATGCGCTTCCCACCACTGTCTTTGGTTTCTGGCTCCTCTCTCTTTCTCACACTTAGAGCAACATGATATCCAAGTGAAATCAATCATAAACATAACGTACCCAAATTTTGGGTGTTATACTGCATTAATCTGTAAGGAAAGCTCTCTCTATTTACAATTTTATAGCATGCTTAGGTTTTTGATCTCAGCAGACACAATCCATTCAAAAATAAAAACATCAATTAATTAAGCAGTTGTTGAGATCAGAAATCTGATACCCATATGGTGTCAAATTAGTGCCTGAAAGCAGTTAACTGCCAAGAGAAGTACATGCATCTGTTGCAAGAGATTAAAATGAAGTATCTATTAATTGCTGAGAGTTTCTTGATTCAAAATTATATTGCTGAACTGATTTTCTTTGTGTTATTCATCTTTAATGTCATCACTTGTAAATAAAGACTTGATTCAAAACTATCAAGTTCCAAGCAAATGCTAAGTACCCTCTAAAAAGCAAGCGAAGGAAACTCAGCTATGAAGAGATGCCACAAGGCATGCACTGTGTTTTTGTTCCATTGCTAGGATCTACATAAAACCAGATGTATGCATGAGAGAAATGTTGCCTGATATAACAATGAGTAATAAAGAGTATCTCACAATCATAGGATGCATGACACAATAATGAATTGTGTATTACATGCTTAAAAAACAATTAAAACTGTCAGTTTCTTTTCAGTGGAAGTTCATTGGCAGAATTGTGATACAGCAAAAATTCCACTTCAGGTCTTTCATACTATTTTCCTGTTTTCATGTGCTCACGAATAAGAAAAGTGCAGATGTCAGAGGAACATACACTGTGTGTCTCTGTATCCAAGGAAATAATTGTTTCAAAATACAGTTATCCGGTTACCATCAGCTTATTTTTAACATCTTAAAGTTAAAACTACATCTGCTTGGATAACACTGAATCCCAAGTCAGAGGTGTCTGCCTCAGTCAGGCCTCTTGATGCAGAAGGAAATATTTCGTGCTAACTCAAGTGGTGACATTCTTTCTTCTGAAGCAATGACCTGATATTATTTTTATGAGGATATACGTTCTGTTTCTTTAAACACGTAGCAGGAAACCAAGCAGGATGGGGATGGGGAAAGAGCGTACAGCAGCAAACCTAGATTGAGGAGAAAGAGACCGTGCACACGTGTTTTTTAAGGAAAACACTCTTCTCCTTATTTTTATAAGTGTCTGTGTACAGGTGTTCAGGAAAAAAAAAAAGACCAGGAAGCCCCACACTGCCAAGACTGGATTTTGTGTTTTGTGACTGCAGTGCAAGTGGGGCATACGCTTGTAAACATAAAAGTCTTCTCTCACTTACCTAAGACTCAATCTAAATAACTCTTGCCCAAACTACCTGCTTATACCTGCTGCCTCACCAGATAAATTACGTAGAAAAAATTATTTAGAGGTTATCAGCAAAATAGCTACTTCAGAAAACATATCTTCTCCTTACTTGTTCTTGTGGTAACTGTCTGCACGTGAAGTGTAAGAAAGCTAAAAAACAGACACCTGAAGTAGACTGCCTCAGGGACAAAACTGTGAGTTTTCTGGTCATTTCCTTGGAGAAAATGGGAACTAAGCTATTTAACACCAATTAAATTCTCACCTTCTAGAGTAGGGAAATTAATATATCTTCAAAACACTGATATCAAAGACTAGAACAAATCTAAAGATGATAACTGATGACACTTTTGGTTAATAGTCAAGCTCATAAGCTAAATCAACAGTTTTAATGAAATCAATATTTTGGGGGGATAACTATCCTGCCACAATCTTCCCATTGGCTTTTCTCCAAAAAAGAAACTGAAAAAACCAGCAAGATTAGTGGGCACATAATTTTAAAAGTCTCTTTTTGGGACAAAATATTTTAAAGTTTTCTGGTTTGTTACTGAGCAATAAATCTCTCACACAATCACTCCTCTGTAGTTTTTCTTATTTAAATCTCTAATGAAAGACAGTCTCTTCTCATGTAGGGAAGCACCCAGGGAGTCACCAAATAAGACAGATATTTTAAGTATAACATGGAATGATACCCTCCTGTCTTCATTATGTATTTCCAGGGTCATGTCATTTGGGCTCAAAGATGAAAGAAAATGCGCAAATAATACCTTGATTAAGATATGTACCAACATCAGGCTGGTAAAAAATAAAATAAAAGTCTTGCAAAAAAAGATGTTATCATTTTTATTAATCAGCACTTTTCTATCAGCACCGGAAATTTACTGTTTCTCAGTTTAAAAATAAACAGAATTACTTTGATTGTAGAATTTCTTTTTATGTGATGCCAATAATAATTATTCTTCTATTAATGTTTCAGGCAAGTTTGATCACTATTCCTGCCTTGTGAAGTATCATAGCTCCTCCATGGTCAGTAGGAGGAGTAAGGCAATGTCCCCTTATTAAAACTGTGTCATTGACATGAAGAAAACCTGGGGATGAGCTCTTTGCATCTGATGGTTCCCAAACACAGCCATCAACTTGCAATGCTCCTTGGAAATTCCTCTCCCTCTGACACCATAAAACAGATAAAATAAACTCAGTAAAAAAGTGTAAATCCAGTGTCTGAATACTAAATTCCAAGACTGAGTTGTCTCCCCACCTTAGTCCCGTATACATCTTGTAAGGACTCCACACCACCGGGAGTCACGCTGGAGAGCTGTAACACCAAAATCTCTCCCCAGAAATTATTCTTTTGTACAGGCTTTGAAAGACAGCCCTGAAGCTGCCTCCTGAGGGCTACACCTCTTGCTCTGGCATCTGTGGTGGGCCAAGCTCAGGCCCTTGGCAGAGATGGGCTTTTGGGGGCCACAGAGCGGTCCAGCAGCACCTCAGGAAGCACTGGAAGTCCTCAAGAGGCTGGAGAATGATCTCACATCTTTGGCTGCTCACAGGCCTCTCTCAATTATCTGTGCCAGGAGAACCTGGAACAACTCGTGGTTCGAAAGCTACCATGGCACTTCAAATGACAGGAACATTATCTCCTCCTTAACATTCAATTTTGAATCTCCATTTCTCAAAAAGTGTTGTATGGTATTTCTCCCAAACTCTGCTTCACTTTGAGGACTCATGTAAATTGTTGTTTAATTGAGAGCTGGTTTAGAATGGGGAAAAAAGTAAAATGTTCACAACACAACGGGAAAAATTTGGGAAGTGCTGCAGGCTTTGGTGTATAAATTCCCTGTATCTATAGGTAGGTAGTATGATGGAACAATCCGCATTATAAAGTCATTTTGGTAATAAATACCTGTTCTATCCAGATGCTTCTAAATATATGGTACATGATGCAACTATTTTTCATCCTAGTCAGCATCTAGTAGCATCAAATGCTCCTGAAAGTATTGAGCTGCATCCATCTGATTTTATGAACAGGCAAATAGCATCTTACACAGTCTTCTAACATCTTTAATTACCTGTGAAGAACACAGCAGGTTGTTCTCATGCACTTCTAAAATGTCCTGCTTACTCCCTTATGCCTGGTTTTAATACAACATCTTTACAAGGGTCAGCATCTGTACCATGGCAGAAATAAATCTTTAACAGTGTTTGCCTGCAGATTTAAGGGGATAGTACATGTGTCTTGTTATTAGCATGAATATGGTCTAAATGGCACATACTTTTGTCTTAACAATGTTAGAAATGCTGCTCAAGAAGTCTAGACCAGATTGACCATGTGGTTTAAGATCCATATTTGTATACATTTTGGCATCTTGCAAATGTGTTGATAGCCTGCAGAAAAAAAAGAGACAAGCTGGTTTTAATGGTTGGACAATTATTTACAAACACGTGCATTAACTGCATAAAATCACCCACACAAAGCACCAGAATTTCCCAGAATCACAGAATATTTTTGCTGGTCTCATAGTCACCTACCAGATTCACAAAAGATGAGGGCATTCATTGAGACCTAGTCTGAAACCATCCTCTGTTGCTGTTCAGTGAGATATGGATTAGATTATAAAAAAAAAGTAATTTTTAACTTTTTCATTATCAGTTTGAGTATAGCTATAAATCCCTGTTCTATGCTGAAGCTGGGACAGACATCAGATCCCCAGGGTTATGCAGAGCTGTTAGCAGCCTCAGTGGGGCTCTTGTGCACAGCTTGTTGCCAGCCTACGGTGAAGGGATTTCGGTATAAAAAATATTGCCAGCTGTAGGTGGAAATGTGTGGCAACCAGAAATTCCTTCTGCATCTATGCAACGAACCAAGGTCATGAGTGACTTGCATTCTCTTGGAAACTCGGAAATTTTGTCAGATCTATTTGAACTCAGCAACAACTCTGTTTAAATTTCTGTGAAGACGTAATAGTATATTTAATAAGGTCCTAAAAGAGTAGGTTGTTCTGAATATACATGACGTTGTATATTCACACACAAAGAGGTGTAATTATGTTTCCCATTTATATAAGACCACAAAGACCAACGAAAAGTACAGGAAAAGCCTTCAGGTTTTTTTTGTCTCCACCCTAGGTTGTCCTAACGCAATCCAAGAGGCATCCCTTTATCTCTCTGAAGAGAGGATACTGAATACCAGAGCATATTTCAGTATCATCTAGCTTGTTTTGTCACTCAGAAATCTTAATGGAGACTAAAGCCTTCTTGAATCCATGGATCCAGGCATTCAAATTCATTTATCTATTTATAGTTATTTGGCTTAAACATTGCCTTTATGAGTTTCCAACAAAAAGCAGGATCTATAGAGCTGGACCCTACACAAAGAAAAGGAAAGTCACCAATAGAAAAAAGCTAAAAATTTAAATGGAATTAATGAAGGAATGATAATTCCCATTTTATAGCATTACCACATGTCCACTGCCCACTGGATGGGCTCAATATGCACATCACATTTTTCTCCACTGATTACAGAAAAAAGACAGTGTTTAACAGCCTTGGGGCTGTGGGTGAATGAATTTCTCATCCACCTCTTTATCCAATTTGCCAAAGCAACAGCAGCATCTTTGGTTCAACACCTACAGCCAGGATTCCCAGCAAAGCAGCATCCAGTCCAACTTTGACTTAGAATACATAACAAAAGTAGGAGGACTTTTGAGACCTAGGACTGATTTTGTCTGAACTCTATTCTTTTGTGGGTTTGGACATTTCTGCTTTGTTTGTATTCCAATTCGTGTTATCCAGACAAATTGGAAATGTTGTGTGACAGTATCTTCCGTGTTAGGATGAGGTGAGCATGTTTAAACCGAGATTCTTCTAATCATTTTCCATGCGTTTCTTAGTTGGCTTGGTTTCTTTTTTTCTGGCTTTGTTCTCCTACACTAGTTCATTCATTTCCTGAAGTTTCACTTCACCTTGTCTGGTTTTTCTGTCTGCAGCATGTTGTTATGTGCATTTGGTGATGAGAATTAGCTTAAAATAATCTGTACCATAATTACTGACTTCAGACTTGTTTGTGTCTATAGGGAGATATCCACGACAAAACAAAATAACAACAAAGAGAGAAAGCTACCACTTTCTTCCATATTTGGACAGCCCAGATGTTATTTACAGCAGTGTTTATGAAGCTTTTTCTTTGCCTTGCTGGCTTTGATCCAAACACGTTGTCAGTTTTGAGCACACACGTCCTGTCACATGGTGACTGTGTGCCCTTGATGAGTAAACATGCGGGAATGCAATTTATAAAGACAGGCTAGAGCAGCAATTAAGAAGAAAAAGAACTACAAATAAGACAAAGGAAATTAGGCAGGAAGATGAGCTAAATCTGGTCAGAATACAGGATATCAAGGCAACTGCACTGCATGTAATTTATTCTTTAGTCACTAGCAAGTGTCAACATCAGTATGTGATGTCTGTGAAACTTTTATCATCAGTCTGCAAGAGGATCTCTCAGAGGGACTTGTTGCTACAGAATCCCCCAAGTGCACGATCTTTGAAGGACGAAGAATTTCATTATCACTTTTGGCACTTAGTCAAGTGATGAAGTTCTTCAAGAACATTTGGACAATGAACAAACAGAAGACTGCAAAATCTCCTTTTCCTATAAAGTCAAAGAGGCAGAAGTTGCCAGTAAGGGCCCACAGAATATGTAGGAAGAGGAAAATATCTGACATGCATTACAGTTTCATGCTAAAGCACAGTAATGCCACAAATGTTTCAGGCAATAAAATTCAGTCACACGAATATTTGGGTGACAGCAGTGAAAGGTTATGTACCAGAAGTCATGGGGCCTGGGAAGAGAGCATGAAGTATTGCTTATTTCCTTGTTTACAAACAAATCAACCCCAGGCAAATGCTGGGATTTGGGAAGTTCATCTAAGAGACTGTGGGCTGAGCAGCTGAATCTTGGGTCTGTTGTAGGAAGAGATCACTGCTCTATAAGAGGTGTACTTCATTATAAAGGCCATCATATCTGCTACAGGAACTAGTAGTCCATTATCCCTATGTTTGATAGGACAGTATTCCAATAGGAATCTTTCTTTTAGCTTTACCTATCCAAGTCTATAGGAGAGGATACCAGGGGCAACTCCTTCCTCTTGGGAATAAATTTAACTCTATAACTGCTCTTTTCCTATCAGTCATCTACTGTCTTATGTTCTTGATTGTTGTCCTAGCAGTTATTGTCCTCATAGACCAGATCTTGGTTTTTCCAATCCTTTTTTGACAAATCTCACAGTATATGGAAGAGAACTTTGCTACTAATCTCATTTAGGGAAGGACTGAAGTTGAACAGATTCATGTGAGAACATGATGTGTATCTTTAAACCTTCAGTTATTTGTCATCTGAGTCTTGGAACAAACAGTACATTGTGATTGGATCTTTGATGTAAAAACACTTGTATTTTCTGTAATGGCATTGTGGTTTCTATACGTGCATAATCAAGATGGTAAACCAGCATGTGATTTATATGATCACTTGGAAATACCTGTCCAAAGGGTTTCTTGTTTTATGTTTAGCTCATCAACTGGCAATCCTTTCTGCTAATGAATCTTTGCTAATATTTGAGAATATATACCCTGTAATTATATTTTCCCATGGAAAGGTACCCAGCTGTTCAAATTAAGTGTTAAGATAATCTGAAATTAAGGATACATCTGAAGTGCCAGATCCAATCCTAGCCTCCCTATTACAAGGAAATTTAAGCAAGTGCAGCAATGGGCAACGAGGATGAATAAGGGACTGTAAGACCTGCCCTATGAGGAGAGGCTGAGAGAGCTAGAGACTCTTCAGCCTGGAGATGAGAAGGTTCAGGGGAATTCGATCAATGTGTGTAAATACCTGGTTGTCAGGAGTAAAGAACAGGAAACCAGGCTTTGCTCTGTCATATTCAATGACAGGACAAGAGACAACAAGCACAAATTAAAATGCAGGGCATTCCATTTAAATATAAGGAAAACCTTTTTTTACTGTAGCAGAGGTCAAACAGTGGAACAAGTTATATAGAGATGTTTTAGAGTTTCCATTCTTGGAGATACTTAAATAAGGACAGACATGGCCCTGAGCAAGCTACTCTTGTTGATGCTCCTCTGAGCAGAAGGATTAGACCAGACCATCTCTAGAGGTCCCTTTCAAGTTCTGCT